ATTTTGAAAAATACCCAGATCAAAGAACAGTTTCGCGGACTCCCTCGCAAAACAAGGAGTTCACAGATCAACAGATTTTGAAGCTAACCTGTAGGTTTCTTTCGTAGCTTTTTTGCCTTGTTCGTGAATGTCAGCAGCCTGTGATCTTTTACCCCGTCAACAACCAGCTTGTGCAAATTTGTTGTTAGACCTTCTAATGCTTCCTTAGATGGTTTTAATGAAAGTTGTACTCTTTTTTCAGCAATGTACCTATATTGTGCAGGTTTTTCTTTTAAACTGCAGGATTTTAGGTTGGGACGATAGGATAGAACCTGACGGTTCTGGGTCTAGTTTCCCGCAATTTGAAGGTTTTCCTGCAATTTAATTATATTAAAATAGATTTTGCTGATAAAAAAAAAGGTACCCATGGTGCCCACCGTCAAATCCATTTAATTACCTCAAATCCATTTAATAAAACAGGTAATGAGTAATGGGTATTAAAAGATCCAAGCCTCTACCTTACTTGTATACTGTGATTTCACTAACAATACTTATTGCAAACCAATTTATAACCACTCATAGCCTCATATAATTGATCAGTATGGAGGAGGACCCTAAAATACACTTTCTACTTTAGTTTAGACCTAAGCTAATGCTACAAGAACTTGGAATCAATTAGGAACATCTTTCCAAAAACTAATTGCTTTCTTTGGCTTGCTTAGAAGCACCCGATCCGATTTTAGCGGATTCGAATAGTGAATAAACTGGTCTGGAAGAGATTCGGATAGTATTTTTGCTACCTATATCGAGTTTGAGTTCAAGAACGCAGGTATCTTATCCAGTTAATAAATATTTAACAAATATTTAAAATAATTAATTTTAAAATAAAAAATTATATATACACACTTTTTAAATTTTAATTAATGCTACAATTATTTAATATTTATATTATATTTTTATATTATTTAATATTATATTATATTTTTTATTAAGTCAACAGAAATAAATAATTTTATAATTTGTACTTGCTTTTTATTTTAAAAATTAAAATAAAAAATATTTTCAATGCTAAACGCTTTTAGATTTTTAACGAGTAATTATAATGAGTTTGGAATTTTAAACGAGTAATTATAATTGAGTTTGGAACGTGTTTGAGTATCTAATTTATAATCGGGATCGGGTAGTGCATTTTAAGCGAGTACGTCACCCATTGCCATCCCTACTGAGGAGGATGGAAGTAAAACCATTTCCAAGATATCAATGGAGAACTTACAAAACTAAAAAACAAAAAACGGTGGAGTAAGCAACTAATGCTCAATGAGAATTATGAATAGAAGCAGGTGGGTAGCCATCATTTTTCGGCCGTTCTTATCTATATTCATTTAGAATTTCACTATCCATGCTCGTTCAGAACTCATTAAAATGATTGAGTATTTGCAAATTTTAAACTATCTAAATATGAACTTATTCAAAATACATCTTTCTACTAATACTCAGTAAGGTACCCATGGCATCCATTATCAAAACCATTTAATATAGCAGGTAATGAGTAATGGGTACCTAGAGATCTATACCCCTATCTAATTGTGTTCTTTACGAATTGTAATTTCACTAACCATACTCATTCCAAACCTATTTATAATTATTCATATTCTCATTCAATTGATCGGTGCAGAGCAGAATCCTAAAATACCCGTTCCGCTTTCATCTCTAATTTACACATAAGCCAATGCTACAAGAGCTTGGAAATTAATTGAGAACATCTTTCCAAAAACTAATTGCTTTCTTTGGTTTCCTTAGAAGGATGGAAGTAAAACCATTACCAAGATATCAATGGAGAACTTACAAAACAAAAAGGGTAGTGCTCAGTGAGAATTATGAATAGCAGAGAACCTCTAACTATTTTACAAGCATTTAGGGTTTGTAGTGGGTATTCCGATTAGAGCAAGCAATGTTAGTTTTTCTTTTTTTTGAGTGAGGTGGAGGTTGGCTGTGAAATGGGATTCAAAATAAAGAGGGGCTTTTCCATTTGGCCCTTAGCTTAATTGACTAATAAATGCACGAGCATGCTTTCATCTTTTAATATGCATTTAACCGCTAAATGTTGATTTTAAGGAAGGAAGACTACTTTATTCAATGGTGGCAACTTTATTCGAATGGTGGCAAGCTAATAGAATACACAATTATATATTTTTCAAAGAACATGGATAAGTAATTTGTAATTTGAGATTAAACTAAAAGAGGAAAAACAAAAGTCTTTTTTTTTTTAATAAAAGTAGTCATATGAGATTCTCTCTAAATGTGGTTATCATAAATGTAAAAGCTTTTTTTTTTTTTTTACAGAAAAAGTTATGTACCATGGTCAACCCATAAGAGAGTAGATAATAATGCAAATTACAAACTCCATTGAGGAGTATTGTAATCTGTCATATTTTAGAACTTTATTTTAAAAAATGTCAGTTTGACCTTAAATATTAAAAAAAATATTATTTTCCTTATTCATTTTCTATTTTACCCTTATATTTTCACCTTTATTGTTATCATTGTCACTGTTACTATCATCGTCGTTGTCGCCATTGCTGCAATTGTCAATTCCATCATGCCTTTGTCGTCGTTGCTTTTGTTATCGTCATTGTTGCTCTCGTCATCGTTGTTGTCGTTGCCATCGCGGGAAATTGATCACCGGTCATAGTCGTCATTGCCATTCATCGTGGTTGAATCACAAAAGCCCTACTTTGTTGAGGTTAGTTTTAGTACTACTTAATTTTTTTTTACCAAAATTGATCTTAGGTTAACTTCTAAACATTTCTGACATTTTATTTAATTTGAAATCTTATTTTCAATATTTTTTAAATTGTCGCTAACTAAATCTAGCTATTTTAATTAAAAGATTAGAGAAGGAGATATATATTAAGTATTAATGACGTTCTGACCGTATGTGCAGATCTCTTTAGCCATCTATAATAAGGTCCATTGGCTAAAAGGTAGATTACTATTAAAATTCCTAAATCTTCATCCAATTCATTATTATGTAAAGGTAGATTACTATTCATTATTTTTAATAAATACAATTATCTATTAAATAATTCCTCATTCCATCTCCATCTTTATCTTCTTCCTGAGCTTATTATTTCTTTCCTAAAGCCACACTTGATTGCCCAATGCCTAATACACATGGTTTTATTTATGTTATCAAACAGTCATGCATGGCCTTTATTTATCTCCTTCAGCTCTTTGAAACACCATTTCTTTAATAATACAATTTCTTTTTTTTTAGGGAATGATACAATTACTTCTATTACTTCTTGATAAATTAAAGTAAAAATTATAAAAAACTAAAAGGATTATATATATACTTGGTATCAATTTAAATTTGGTCGAGATCGTAAAGAAATATTAATAAACAAATACTTGATGTGTCGTTTTTCTCTCTTTTTTTCTTTTTTTTTTACTACCAAAATAATTTTTTAAAAAAAGTCAACATACCTTAAAAGATTTAAGACAATAAAAAAAATTAAAAAAAAAAAAAAAACAAATTAAGAAAAAATCCCCCAAAAAAAAAAAAATTAAAAAATAAACAATTTTAATTTTTTGTTTTTTTTGTCGAATTTTTAATTTTTTTAAATAAATTAATTAATTATTTTAAAATAATAAATTCAAAAAAATATTAACTCTTATTGATACTAGTATCCTCCCTTAACAATAAGTGTCATTTTTTTCTTTTTTTTTATTCCAAATAAATGTTGTTTTTAATAATTTCAAAGACTCCATTAATTTTTTTTACCCCCCCCCCCCCCCCCCCTTCCTAATCTACCCTTTAATATATTTAGTATTTCTTACTCATCTATAATTGGTCCCTCAATTACTCCCGAGGGGCAATATAAATATTTTATAAAATAATTTTTTATAAAATTTAGACTAATTGATTGTGTTCATATAATCCATGTACCGAGCTAAAAAAAATTAAATCTCTTCCAACTTATACATAAGGAAAGTGGTTGTAACAAATTCGTGCGCCCACTTCAAACATAAGTAGTAAACTGGAAAAGAAGTAAGGAAGAAAATTAATAATCCAACAATTTACTAATTATATTTATGGAAATTTAATTTTATACTGCTTCAAATGTCAATAAATATACTCATATATCTGAAGATAACACCAAGATTTTTTATGTAAAATACATTAAGTAAATTTATATAATTTACCGATCATTGTATATTTCCATCATTAAATTATTAAAAGAGCAAGTTTTTCACGGTCAATTAAAAATCATTACTAGAGTGGATTTTAGCACAAATCATGCCATTTTTATCAATGGAATTATTCCGTTTAAAATGACAAATTTTAAAATTTTAAAAAATTAAGATTTTGTCAAATAGTGTCTTTCCAATATGATAATTACGAATTAATTTTTTTCCTAATTTTTATTTGTACATGTCAATTCTTCAATAGTAATAAGATTTAAATTAAATCTACACTTTACAATTAAATTAGGAATTGCAGTTTAACTTTCCCTACTCACAACCAATTCCCAAACGGCTTGTTTGTTCAGCAAAAATAAAGATTAATTAATTAATTTCCAAATGTTGAACTTTAAAAAAAATTATATATATATATAATTAATACATGAGATTTCTGATATGCTAGAAATTAATTAATACTCAGAATCTCAAAATAATAATTTTTTCTTATGGGCAAAGTGGAAAGTAGTACCAAAATTAATTTTTGAATAAATTATTAAAAATGATTTTTTTATCGATTAAGTTCAAACCATCATGGCCTGTTTATCTATTAAATTAATAAAACTATTGATTGGCCAATTTCCTCATGATTGCCCGCGATTTGCAGAAATTTTTAGACTCCAATTAAAAAGAATCTCAAAGAAGAAGCCTATACTTTCAAAAAAAAAACCATTAAAGCTAGAGAAACAAATATATAAAATTCAGAATATTTGTTAATTAAATTAACTTTTCAACATAATATAACATACATAAAAATTTATGTACGCAAAATTATTATTCAAACCTTTTCAATTGAATCCCTAAACAACACATAATCTGGTCCTGAAGTCGCATCTCTTGGCTTTCTTTTTCTTCTCTAAGAAACAGGAAAGGTGGAATAACTTTGTTCATGCCTAAAAAAGTTATCAGGATCATACCTTAGTTTTTACTTGAACCAATCTATTAAATAATTTTTTTTAAAAAATACTTAATACCCCCAACCGCTTATGCTTTCCTGGTAAACACTAAATATTATTCTTGGTGTTTATACCCAAATCAAGATCCCTGTAATTAACATAGGCAGTTCTTGATTATTACCAACCCAAGGCCCAATAAATTTATAAAGCTTTCTTTATCCAATCAATATGCTTTGCTTCACTCTTTCTGTCCTCTTGCCAATTAGAAGCATACTGAAATCATGAATAAAATCCCTTTTCTGTTAGGAAATGGAATTTCAGATTCTGAAATCTCACTCAGCTTCCCTCAAAAGGATCCAATATCATCAATGGAGTTTCGTCTTCCAAAATATTTTCCAAAGACCGTTCCAACGCTGCCTTTCAGGAAATGGTTCTTTAACAAAATCTGATTTTGCTTTAAATGTAATTTTTAAATAAAGATTTATGCTAGCAGTAAACTTTCAGGCGCAGTTATTAGTCGGGTAATCCCGCTGTATTATAAAACCGAATTTGAGCCAACTCATCTCTTGTAGAATCATTTCTGGTTAAACCCAATTCAGGAAACAACTAGTCTGTTTACATCGCCAAGAAACAAACCTTGATAAGAAGTCGATACAGTTCGTGCAACAGGATTACCAACATTAGACGGTGTGATTATTACTCTAATGAAAAGATCCTCGTCAAGTTTGTCAGCTACTTCAGTCCACCGGTGAAGAATTTTAGTACCGTTTTGTTCTAAAGTCCTCGTAACTGTAAAAACTGTAACAGTAGAAGGAACCTGAACTAACTGTAGTTTCCAAGAAACAATAATTCCAAAACTACCCCCAGCGCCACCTCTAATTGCCCAAAAAAGATCTTCGCCCATAGCTTGACGATCAAGCAGTCTACCATTAACATCAATGATATGAGCATCAATTACATTATCGGCACCAAGACCGTACTTTCGCATCATTCCACCATATGCGCCCCCCGTAATATGACCTCCGACTCCTAAACTTGTGTAAAGTCCGGCTGGAAAGCCGTGGGTTTGGCTTTTTTCTGCAATTCTGTAATATACTTCGCCGATGGTTGCGCCGGTTTGAACCCATGCACTGTTATCGTCAATATTGACGTCGACAGAACGGAGTCGTGAAAGATCTATAACGAAGAAGGGGTTGTCTATTTCTGTTGCGTAAGATAAACCTTCATAATCATGGCCACCGCTACGCACTCTAAGGTGGATGCCCAGCTGTTTTGAGCAGATAACGGCAGCTTGGATATGGGTTTCCTTTAACGGGGTGAAGATGAATTCAGGTTTAGGAACGGAAGGTAATAAGTAACGGAGGTTTTGAGCTGTGGAATTCAAGATTGAAGGGAATGAGGAATTGTTTGGTGTGAAAAATGTAGAAGAGAAAGGAATCTGGAGTTTGGAATTGCGTTTTAGACAACGGAGAAAAGAGTCGCCAATTGGAACTGAAAGAATGAAAGAAGGTGAGAGTAGAAGGAAGAGAACAAGCACTGAATAAGAGATTGAAGAAGCCATTTTCTTGCGTTTGTGTTTTGGGTAAGCGAAGTTTCATTTTTATACAGAATGTGAGTTTGATTGTCAGTTGTTGAACGATGTTACAGATAAGACTATGCTGTAATATGCTATTGACAAGGTAAATCATGAATATATAAAGTAAATAAATGATTTTCCTTTTATTAAAAATATTACTTTAAAAAGCCTTAACTGCCATTAAAAACATATACCGGATGGACGAAAAACCTTAACTGTGATTAAATTCGAACCGAATTTCTGAATTCTGATGGTTTACACCCAAAAACATTCTTTTAAAAAGTCTATTTCAGATTTATCGTTATATTACTCCATTAAATCTCTCTATCCTACAAAACCGATTTGTTTGCTAAAAATAATTAGAAATTCATTACAGTGATACTGTCCTGTTTATGTCATAATAATAACTAGCATATGCCTCGGATACGCATTTATAATTTGGCTTGGAAAAAATTTATAATTTAAATTATTTTTAATTTTATAGTTGGTAATTTTGTTGAAAACAATACTGAAAATTTCCCCAAAAAAAATCTTTTTAAAAATTGAGTAAGACATAGATAATATGAACGTTTAGTATTAACATAGTAAAAATTAGATGTTATTTCTAATATTTATCTATCATCTATAATGTATCTATAATCTATATCTATCTAAACTATATATATAAATGGGAGAATAATGAAATTTTCTATTTTAGCCTTAATTTAAAGTAAAATTCCTAATAAATCCTTTTTATGACTCTATATATTTTACTTATTTGTTTTGTCTATATATTGTCTATATACATAACTAGTTGATGTATTAGAAGTCGTAGGTTTTGCCAAAATCAAAACATATGTATTGCACATTAATGAGCGGAGCAATTGATTGAAAAATAAAACAAATTATATTATAATTTAGTATATATTTAATTTAATTTCATAAATATTTGATTGGCGATATATAATATTAAATATTAAATTTGGCTTTCCCCGATATTCGTAGCTATTTATTGTATATATAATAATATATATTTTAATATTAGTAATGTGTGGGTATATAATCTCTAATATAGTTTTATAATTATAAAATGGTTTAATCAAATTGAATTTACGGGCTACACCACAAACATGTTAGTTTGTTTTTCAAATTTTTGAATACATTGAATTAGAAAAAGTGAATTCTTTATTTAAAATTTCTAATATAAATGGAACATCTTAGAAAACAAATTATTGCCTATTTAATGAGTATTCTATTAATTTTAATTTTTAATCTATAATCTATATTCAATTTTATAATCTATAATCTATCTATAATCTATAATCTATATAAATGTGGGAATAAAGGAACAGTGGGATTTCCTATACTAGCCTTAGTTTAATTTAAAATTCATAATATATCCTCTTAGTTAGATTTTTAATGCATTCTAATCGGAGAAAATAAGTTCATTTGAATATATTTTAGTTATATTTTTTTATGCATTTTAAGTTGAGAAAATAAATTCAATTTATCATTTTGAATATCTTTTTACTTATATTTTTATGCGTTTTAATTCAAGAAAATATGTTTATTTATATTCTCTATTTGATCTTGGAGTATTATGTCCAATGATTCTTATAATTAATAGGTTCTCATATGATATTGCTTTCTATAAGGTAAATTGCAAACCTTAATTCAAGTATTAAAAATGAATCTTAAATTCTTTTAATTTATTATTTTTTGAATTTTTTAAAATATGGTCAAATAATTTACTATTAGCGTCTATTAGTTAAACAAAATGAAATGAAAATAACATTTTTTAAATATATTATATTAATATATTATATTTTCAAAATTTTTATAACTATAATTTAACAAAAACAATAGAATTATGGAATTATAATATTTGACTAATATATCAAATAAGAAAGTTTTTTCTTTTTGTAGTCTAATGAAATATTTTTTAAAAAATAGGCAATAAAAGTTTGAATTAATAAAAAAAATAGATAGATATTTAAGCATATTTTGCTATTATTTTTATTTTCAGCTTTATAATATTAAAGATGAAAGAGAATTTCAAGAGCTATTCTTGCTTATTCAACTATTTTATTCTACTTTTTTTGAAATTTATCAAATTTTTATTTAATTTTCTATATTTAAATTGTATGTATTTTTTTTAAAATAGATATAGAAGATCATAAACCTTTGAAGATTTTTAATTTTTTTCAAACTAAATTGAAAGTGTGGGTAGTTACTCGGGGTTGTTTTAATTTGTTGTACATTGTACCTTTGTTTTGAAAACATTTTATTTATAACTTTATACTAAATTATAACTTTATACTAAATGAATAATAAACATAATAGAAAATATTTTAAATAAAAATTAATTTGAGCTAAACTTACTTAAATTTTCAAATCCTTAAGTTTATAACCATATCTCAATTTTTTAATGGAGTTTTATGAACTTAGAAATTAAGTTTTATGAAGTAACAAAAAAAAAAAATACTCCTAAATTTTGATTATAAAGCAGTCTTCAATTCGAATTGACATTTGAACTTACGTAAAAATGCCGTCAGTGTAAACATATTGCCTTTATACTGTTTGCTAAGAAGAATCAAGAAGAATATTATTTTTCATATATGAATTCTGTATACATCAAAGTCTATTATAGTACAAGGCATATCTAATTATGGTAACAAATAAACTAATTATGATGAAAGATATTGTTGCTGATTTAGTTGCTGATTTTCTTTCTAAATATATGTGATTTTATTCTAATATAAATGGAACATCTAAGAAAACAAATTATTACCTATTTAATGAGTATTCTATATATTAATTTTAATTTTTAATCTATAATCTATATTTAATTCTATAATCTATAATCTATCTATAATCTATAATCTATATAAATGTGAGAATAGAGGAACAATGAGATTTCCTATACTAGCCTTAGTTTAATTTAAAATTCATAATATATCCTCTTAGTTAGATTTTTAATGCATTCTAATTAGAGAAAATAAGTTCATTTATCCTTTTGAATATATTTTAGTTATATTTTTTTATGCCTTTTAAGTTGAGAAAATAAATTCAATTTATCATTTTGAATATCTTTTTACTTATATTTTTATACGTTTTAATTCAAGAAAATATGTTTATTTATATTCTCTATTTGATCTTGCAGTATTATGTCCAATGATTCTTATAATTAATAGGTTATCATATGATATTACTTTCTATAAGGTAAATTGCAAACCTTAATTCAAGTATTAAAAATGAATCTTAAATTCTTTTAATTTATTATGTTTTGAATTTTTTAAAATATGGTCAAATAAACCACCTTAATTCAACGCTATTATAAAATGAAGTCTTAAATTACTTTATAAATTTATTATGTTTTGAAATTTTTTAAATATGCCGTCAAATAAATTTACCTAAGGTTTAGGTCTATTATCAATAGTTAAACAAAATGAAATGAAATAACATTTTTTAAAATATATTCATATTTAAAAATTTTTATAAACTATAGATTTAACAAACAATCAGAAATTAATGGAATTAATAATAGATATTTTCGACTAATAAAATCAAAATAAAAAGTTCTCTATACTTTTTGTAGTCTAAATGAAAATATTTTTTTAAAAAATAGGGCTATAAAGTTTGAATTAATAAAAAAAATAAGATAAATTTAAGCATATTTGCTACTTATTTTTATTTTATTATTTTTATTTTCAGCTTTTATATATGAAAGATGAAGAGAAATTTCAAGAGCTATCTTCTTATTCAATATTTTATTCTACTTTTTTTGAAATTTATCAAATTTTATCTAATTTTCTATGATTTAATTGTATGTATTTTTTTAAAATAGATATAAAGATCATAAACCTTTGAGATTTTAATTTTTTTCAAACTAGGTGAAGGTGTGTAAGTTGCTCAGGTTGTTTTATTTGTTGTACATTGTACTTTGTTTTGAAAAAAAATTTATTTATAACTTTATACTAAATGAATAATAAACATAATAGAAAATATTTTAAATAAAAATTAATTTGAGCTAAACTTACTTAAATTTTCAAATCCTTAAGTTTATAACCATATCTCAATTTTTTAATGGAGTTTTATGAAATTTTTTATGGAGGTTTTTATGAACTTAGAAATTAAGAGTTTTTATGAAGTAACAAAAAAAAAAAAAAACACTCCCTATTTTGATTAATAAAGCAGTCTTCAATTCCGAATTTGACATTTGGAATTATGTAAAAATACGCGCCAGTGTAAAACATATTGTCTTTCTAACTATTTGCCCCAAGAAGAATCAAGAAGAAATATTATTATTTCATATAATGAATCTGTATAGCATCATAGTCTTAATATAGTTACAAGGCCATATCTAAATTTATGGTAACGAAAGGTAAACTAATTATGGGTAATGAAGATATTGGTTGCTGGATTTAATTGCTGATTTTTCTTTCTTAAATATATGTGATTTTATTCTGCTAATACTCCCCCTCAAGTTGAATAGTGGGATTCCCGATATTCAACTTGCACAACACTTCATTGAATACTCGCCCTATCACAGCTTTTATAAGAATATCTGCTAGTTGGTCTTCTGATCTAACAAATGGAAGTTCTATGATGCCATCCTCAATATTTTCCTTAATAAATTGATGATCAACTTCCACATGTTTTGTTTTGTCATGCTGTACAGGGTTCTCGGAGATGCTTATTGCTGCCATATTATCAGATTTTAGCATACTTAGAAGTTTTGGGGAAAAACCAATTTCAGTCATCAGCTTCTTAATCCACAAAATTTCTGCAACTCCCTTAGCAACTCCCCTGAATTCTGCTTCAGCACTAGAGAGCGCCACCACCTTTTGTTTCTTACTCCTCCAAGTTACTAGATTCCCATCGACCACAGTAAAGTATCCTGAAGTAGATCTTCTATCATTTGGATTTCCTACCCAATCTGCATCAGTGTACGCTTCAATATCCAGATGTCCATTTTTCTTAAATATGATCCCATTTCCCGGTGTGCCCTTCAAATATCGCATAATCCTCATGACTGCCTCCATATGATCCTCAATCCTC